TCATTTGCTAGGCCGTGAAGCTGTGTAGGAACAGTTCACGTCAACTGCTTGGCCGTGAAAGTGTGTAGGAACATTTCGCGTCAACTGCTTGGCCGTGAAGGTGTGTAGGAACAGTTCACGTCAACAGCTTGGCCGTGAAGGTGTGTAGGAACAGTTCACGTCAACTGCTTGTCCGTGAAGGTGTGGAGGAACAGTTCACGTCAACTGCTTGGCCGTGAAGGTGTGTAGGAACAGTTCACGTAAACTGCTTGGCCGTGAAGGTGTGGAGAAACAGTTTCACGTCAACTGCTTGGCCGTGAAGGTGTGTAGGAACAGTTCACGTCAACTGCTTGGCCGTGAAGGTGTGTAGGAACAGTTCACGTCAACTGCTTGGCCGTGAAGGTGTGTAGGAACAGTTCACGTCAACTGCTTGTCCGTGAAGGTGTGGAGGAACAGTTCACGTCAACTGCTTGGCCGTGAAGGTGTGTAGGAACAGTTCACGTCAACTGCTTGGCCGTGAAGGTGTGTAGGAACAGTTCACGTCAACTGCTTGGCCGTGAAGGTGTGTAGGAACAGTTCACGTCAACTGCTTGTCCGCGAAGGTGTGGAGGAACAGTTCACGTCAACTGCTTGGCCGTGAAGGTGTGTAGAAACAGTTCACGTCAACTGCTTGTCCGTGAAGGTGTGGAGAAACAGTTTCACGTCAACTGCTTGGCCGTGAAGGTGTGTAGGAACAGTTCACGTCAACTGCTTGGCCGTGAAGGTGTGTAGGAACAGTTCACGTCAACTGCTTGGCCGTGAAGGTGTGTAGGAACAGTTCACGTCAACTGCTTGTCCGTGAAGGCCGCATGTCCATGTATTTACTGCAAGATCGATTCCATTATACCAACTGAAGTGTTAGATGTCGGCTAGTTGCTGAGAATGCCTCATCTAAAAATCGTGCTGGTAACAAGATTTCTTTGTTCGTTCCTCTCCGATCGAACGCGACATATTTTATTCATGACATAGATTCTTGATGCCCTTGCACTTTGAGACGATTTGCCACTCATAGTTTCTTTGGTGACCATTGCTTGGGTGATTCCTGGCACCAATGCTGATAAAAAGATCGCCTTTCATGGGTTTCTTTGTTCGTTTCTCTCCGATCAAATATGTCAAACTTTCATATCGTTCACGAGATGTGAATGGACTCGGACGGAGTGCCAAGGATAAATTTACCGAAAAGAAAACAGAACCAAGGAACAACCACGTACACTACAATTCCCCTCCTATGGTATCATAAAACTTAGAACCTTCCAAGTTGGAAGCTGTTGGAATACACATCCAAGGTGTGCGAGAGCTGATAGCCAGTTATTTGTAGAGCGTCAGCAACCTTCGGTCAGTGGCTTGCAATGTTATCGCATGAGCTGATCGTTTAGTAACTGGTGGTGTTAGTGCACATTATAGCATTACTTGCAGTCCCTTGGTCTTTTTTTTCTATAAGTTCATGAGATAGATTATTGTATAGTCTTTGTAGTCACTTTTAGATGGTTTTCCAACCCCTAGAGTCTTTAGTGACCGCTGCTTGGGTGATTCCTGACAACTTCTCACGAGGCACTCCAAACATAATTGGACAATATGCACCGTCTCTGTGCAGGGTCAATTGAACCCAGTCAGTGGTTCTAGGTATACATGCACCATAGCACAAAACGAATGGGATTCATCCCTTGGGCTTTTGTTACCTGTGTTACTGGGTGTTGCGCAACGGGTCTAGTAGAGTGAAAGACGTTTCATGGCTTATTTATGTTGTTCCTTAGTTTTATTTTGTAGTAGTTTAGTCTTGACTTTGTTGCATTGTTTTGGTTGCATGTGCAGTCTTCTGCACATGTATACACCATGGAACGCGTACGTCACTGTCGCTCGTGCAACATTATTTTGCGTGCATGCTCATATATGCTGCCGCGATGTTTGTCCTTTTCTCCAGTTATCAGTTTTGCCTCGTCGTGTCCGGTCTTCTTGTCTGTCCGTCTTCGTCTTGTCAAGAAATTATGTAGAACTTTTAGTTCAATTGCGCTGTTGTGTGTGGCGAGTCGGAGTGGCCCCTGACGCCTGGAGAAGATGTGCTGGTGCACGAAACTACTTCCTCCGTTAAGCAAAACTTCGTTGCGTTTTTACAGTTCCGTCCAAATCATTCTATGGCTACGAACACGCTTTGCAAAGTGGAAAACACGGCAGCATATGAAAGATATATATTTACAGATGTCACACAGCTCGTTTCAAAGGAGTCCAGCTTCACTCTTCGTCTGAATCTGATGACGACTCCCTCCCTCCTCATGACATCGAGTCTGCATCCTCGCTGACTGTCACCGCCAGCGCTGCCAGCTTTTGTTCTGCAGCCTTTACAAGTTTCCAAAAGACGATTATTTTGATCGTGGAGATCGCCAAGTTTTTCGCTCGAACTGTGACCTTGCCTACCTCCACGGTGGCGCTGATAGTTGTGGCCACTCTCCGGACCGCCATGGAAGGAGCCATACAGACCCAAACAAATGCTCGCCATTTTCGCAGTGGTGTGTCGTGCCAGCACGTTTCCACATCCTGCAGAAGCTCCTTTCTGGTTTTCTTTGCCACGAGTGACACGTCTGTCTACAGGCTGTGGAAGAATGCCAAATCGTCGACGTTGAGATCAGGATTTTGGACCGACTGAACGACAACCTGAATGTCGAACGCTTTTGAAACACAAGTGCATTGATTTTGGCTGTGTGCGGATGCGCACCATCGACTCGTGCCAGTACAGCAGTGCCTGAGCGCGGACATGGCCGGCTCCTGGACACTTTTTCGAGCCACACGGTCTTTCAAACTGTTTCTCATTTTCGCACTTTAGTGTCATGCGTGCGCCTGGGGTTGTGTTCTGGTGACATCCTGTCGAGAAACGGTTCTGCTTCGCCGATTTTTTCAAAGGACTCCACGCTTTTCTGAGGTTCAAAAGCCTGTCATAACAATGGACGACAACTCAGCTACTCTATATAGGGGGTAGATCACTGACATGTATGTCTAATGCCGACAGAAATATCATGACAAGAACACTAAAAACGCAACGCAGTTTTGCTTAACGGAGGAAGTAGGTAAATTTAGGGAAAGTCACAAGACATTTTTGCATTTGAGATGTTCTAAGTTGTCCTGTTCTGCAAGTGGGTTTGGGGTGAATTGACCTCACCTGGCGCTTCTAGTGTTAAATTAAATTGTGCCCCACCATTTTCCTGGTTTCCATTTAACATTAAATTTAACATGGACAGAAAAAAGAATTGTGTGTTGAAAGAGGTGAAAGCACCTATAGGTTACCACACCGAAACCTGTAATGTCGACCACTCGGGTACGGCGGCCACTCGACCATGGCGACCAATTTTCCTTGTCACGGACGCATTCACATTCAAAACAGCTGGGACAAGGCGACCACTCGCTCAACGCGGCCGACGACCACCCACCCGCCACCGCTTTGCACGCTGCTACATGTACATTGACATGCACGCATTGCACTGTGCACCATGCATGGAAGATGTATACACAATCTGCTCAGGAAATGTAGATGCACATGGTGCATGCAGGATACTGGGCGGGTCTGAGCCCCCCCCCCCCCCAGGCACATGACTCATGGGTTGTGCATAGTGGCATAGGTGTGTCCAGTGTGATACACTGATCAAAATGATATGTCACACATCATGAGTATAGTCGCATGACCCACACTGAACCTGGATAAGAAGACCATCTGGTCATGGTGACCACGGTGACCACTTGCCTTCAGTGGTCACCTTACACATGTTTCACTGTAGGTAGAGCTGACAGTCCACCAAATTGAACAGTAAATTAATGTGTATGAAGTTGCTTACCTCTCCGAATGCATTGATGGCGCATACCAGCCTTGGCCAAACGTGACAAATGAACTATCACTGGCCACCCTGCAAAATGGGATAAATGGAAAATGATTTAGGGGAGAACATTTTCAAAGTAGTAAGAAGTGTGTGAGACTATGGGCGAGTGGGTTTGCGAGAGTGAGTGTGAGCGGGTGTACGGAAGAAGAAACAAATTGCCAATATTATAGTTATCTAGTTACTAAGTGCAGGCAGGCATAGTGGGATGGTCTCAGACGAAGATTGAGAAACAGAGGGTACCAGGTTCAAGTCCTGCTTCGATGCGGAAGGATTTTTTCCAGCCGTGCTGCGACCCACAGTTGATTGGGAACTCGTGGCCTGGCACGAGGGAAAAATGGATGCAGCGAACGGGATTTTCTGCCTTTGACCACTTTGTGGTGGGTCTGATCTACTCACCTCCCACTGCTTAGGAGCTGCATCTGCGCCCTGATCCAAGAGGGTGGTGGCGCTCCTGCGGATGCGGAAAACTGGGCCTTTGGCCGAGTCTTACGCGAACCGTGATTTTTTTTACGTACGTCGCAACCGAGTTATGTCGTTTCTGTGTCATCTTCTATGTTCCATGCGCTACTTGATGTACCAGCCTGCTATGTCGGATACCGCCAACCATGCAACGACTAGGCGCCAGGCGCGAACTGATGGGGGTGGTGGTGAGAATGAGAGCTCTGTGCCAGAACTTTGCAGCCAAGAGAGGGTGTGTGGGCAGGCGTGTTTTTTTTCCCAGGTGTGTCTTTACCACCATATTTATCAACGCTCAAATATTGTCGGATTATTACAAAAGAGGGCTCTATGTCTTCAGAAAGACCTCGACTATTGACTGCAACGATCACTTTCACTGCTTGGTGCATAATTGGCGCACGACGAAGCCCGAAGCCAGTGCGTGATCAAAAATGCGCATTCAAACATTTTGAGTCGCCGTCACGCTGAGAATAACTCTGATATCTTCTTGCTTACCTATGCGTTTTGGGGCTGGAAATCCTTCGGGTTTTAGGTATTTTCATAAGAACTTCGTCTGGTTTCTATGAGCCACGATTTTACAAATCAGTGAACCACTCATGACAGATCGCGCTGCGCATATTTGTTTGAGTTTGAAAACGTCTTCTTCATCACGGCACGGCGCGGCACACACGAATTGCGCTTGCTGTTGTAGTTTCTACGAGTGCGTAGCTACCAGAATTAGCTTTCAAGAGAGTGGTTGTTTGTGAGAAATGGCCAAAGGAGAGCAGAGATATAACAAAAGTCAAATTTTGTAGACTGTGAATTGACTCAATTGCGATAATCGTGGGTTCGAATAGCTTTGTTCCTGGGCTTTCTGCCCAGTAGCTAGACGTCTGGAGAAGATATTCAAAGGCGGCATTCGTGCTACCTTGCGAGAGGGCTTTCTCACCCCCACCGCACCCTGGCACTTTTTAGTATTGTCAGCCTGGCACACACACGCACTCAGAAAGTTCTACTTTTTGTACACTGCTGTATCAATGGATCTTGTAGCCCACTCCTACAGCAATTCTTCACAACGACTGCTCCAAACACCGTGCACAATGGTCAGCGCATCACTAGGGGCCAAGTTTCCAACTTGCTCCAAGTCGCTTTCCTTTGCGGGCCTGATGGTCGATCGAGTATGATGTTTCAAGGCAGTTTTGCATGGAATGCCCTCTCTGCTCATGTAAGATCGATAACTGCTGCCAATCAATTCAAGACAGCCCTATATTATGATATTGACCTACTTAACTTGTACACACTATGCCAACAGTTAGATACCTCTCGCTGTACTTCATCTTCTCTAGACTGCTAAAAATTGTGCCCATGCAACAAAGTCAGTCTGTCAATGTTCACACATAATTATCTTTTTCATGAAATGCTTCCAACACATAATTATTATTTGTTATCCCAATTAAAATAATTCCCACAAATTGAGTTTCAGCATACACACATAACAGACATTTCTATATTAATAATTATACCGCTTGCATGTCTTTATTTCTATGCATTTCCTCGAATGATTTCCTTCATCTTTCTGAAAGTTTCTGTAAGAACCGGACCTATGGGACGGTGAGAAGGCAATCATGCTGGTACAATTCGTGAAGTAAAATAGAAGTCAACGACAGCAACATGTCCAGTAGTTGAAAGTTCTTGAGGCAGTTTGTGTACGTATTCATAACCCTCTTTTGTGTAAAGAGAAAGAGCACGTTGTTCCATTTGGGTTACAGTACATGAAATAACTGTCGGACATTGGGCATTTTCTGACTGTTTTCGGTCATTATGCGGGCGAAATAACCGTGCAACGGACAGAGTGTCTGATTGTTCCGAGACAAAAAATAATCATTAAAAACGACTCCCTGTACAGCTGTGCACAAGCGCTTGTGCTGCAATCGGAAATGACGAGTTTAAGGATGAGAAAAGGTGGCCACGTTGGCGCTCCTCCTAGGAAGAAGTTCCGCGCTGTGCATGTAGCCACTTCGGCGATACTTGGGGAATAGTGTGTCGCTCCCTACGTGGTAGCTTGAGCTGTTCCTGCCGACTTTAATTCTCACTTCACTGACACATGACTGCCATCCAGAGCACACGAGAAGTCCATTGAACTTGGCAAGCCTGCAAGAAACTCTATCCTGTTGCAGAGACAGTCATGTGTTCTGGTCCATCGTATTTTAAACTGAACATTGTCGCTGAACATCTCAGCAGGTATAATTGGTTTACTTTCGCACGGGACACTCGCAATGGCATAGTACTTCCCAGAGCTTTGTCAACTATGCTTGCCAAATCCCCTATCTTTTCTGCGTATTTGTATTGGCTCAAGCTGCCCATGGAAATGAAGACAATATGCAATATTAGACAGTTCAAAGACCATGTTAAATGTCATGCCAAGGCTCACTTGCCTCTTTTGCTAGCTTATCTTGCCACTATTGACCATAGTCAACAAAGTGATAAATTTCACCCCGCTGATGATGCGTTCTTTTCTTCCGATTATTATGTTTTTCTTCTTCTTTCTTTCTTTCTCCTTCTCTTGCCATGGCTGGCTAACGCCCCCTCCTTTGCATTAACTTCTGCCATTGGACGGTGAAATAGGATATTAAAAAAATAAAGTAAAGCACCACACCCTGCTCAATACGCATTGTTTTCGGGGGCATTCAACGCTCATCAGTTGAGCTAAGATTTTGCCTGTAGGGCACTACATATATAGTGCTCTCCACACCAAATCATCACCGAGGATACAAACTTACAGAGAGGCTCCGTTTCCAGCGTCGCAAACACCTTTGACTCACGCTGCTATCTGGTGCTCTTTAGGTAACACACACTTTCCCACTGCCTAATTTAGTGCCGTTTTTCTTTTATTTTCACCCCACTTTCTGTTCCATAATAAGATTTTTCACTGAGTGTCCACCCATTACTAGGTACGTTCACCCATGACCGTACAGAGAAAACATACCTTCCTTTTACATTTGCATCTCACATATAAAGGATAATTTAATTTAACGACTTACATCTCAAGGGCTCGCTTCATGAAATTGATTCCAAATGGTGTGTCATTTGCGTTATTAAATCTTGGTTGCAATCTCATTGTCAAAGTAGTAATTCCGTCAACTCCATGATTATCATTAAAATTGTCTCGTATATGAAAACAATATGGGATTCTTGTGTTTGAATCTTCAAGGGGCCGGTATAGCTCACTATCCATTGTGGATAACAGTGAGTGGGCGTCAAGTTCAGCTCTGCCTGATCTCGGGCCTGATAACTGTTGGTCATGAATTATGAACCGGGCTTTTCCTTCATTGGTATAAAACCTAGCAGTTACAACTTCATTACCATGTGTGACCTTGGCAATGTGTGTCCGCAACACATCGGCCCATTGACGTCTGCGTCGGTCTCTCCACTTACCATGATTCCAATGGTTACCCCACCCTTTCATCTCGTAAATGTGAAGTGGTTGTCGTTCTGGATGTCCATCACCACCAGCATCATTAGGTCCACTTGGTCCACCATGTCCAGCCACTGGACCAGCGTCATCGGTTCCACCAGTTCCAGCGACAACCCCCCACGTCAATCTTCGGACATTTGTAAAGAGTTTGCATCCACCCTGGACACAAACATGGCGTAGTAAGAATGCAGATAAGATCTCAAGGAGGTAATATTACAGGAAATTAGGAATTTCCTTTTCCACATCAGGAAAGTACAACGTGGGAATCTTGCTCACTAACGACTTTGACTCGTGGTGCAAAATAGACATTAGTAGGAAAAAAAGGAAATGTACCCCACGACCATAGCTTAGGTACAGAAGCGCTTACTGAAATCCCAACAAGATTGCAGAACTGGTGCGCGGCACCAGTACCGATCACGTTACGTACGTAGACGTGTGTAATGTTCCTGGCAACTCTTAGTTAGTTTGTGCCAATTTATTTGTGAAGGGGTGTTTGGCCCGCCATTGGCAATGTTACGTTACTGTGAGTGAGGAGTATAACTAAGAGTTTAGAAGTAAATCAACTTCATAACGGTAGTGCATGCTAGTAGAAAACGTTTGGGAGATCCATGCGTTGTGTGTGTGTGTGTGTGGGTGTGTGTGTGTGTGCGTTGTGTGTGTGCGTTGAGTGTGTGTGTGTGGGGGGGGGGGGGGTGTTTTCTTGTTTTTTCCTCTTTCTAAGTCATTTTTCCAACATTTTCATCGTTTTCTTCTTTTCCGTAAGGTCGCGGTTCTTTTTTTACGCAGGGGAGTTACCTAATAATAGCGTATATCCCGAGATTTAGTTCTACAATGTAGTTGGATGACATCACTCCCTATGAAATGATTTCATCTTAATAAGATGTACAAAAACACTGCGTTGCTGTGTAGAGGAATGCATTTTTTTTGAGGAATTGACTATTTCTCTTTCGTTTTCCTGGAAATGCTTGTCCGGCTTGCGCCATCTAAATGCGTCGTCTTGAAGAAACGCGAGCCCAATCCAAGGGCCTGGAGAGGAGTTATGGATGCTCTCGGATGAAATATCACGGCTCACGTTTTTTCCAAGCGTGTAAAAATACAATTTTCAAAGCTAGGCAGAAAGGAAAAAGTCATTATGGGTACGAGTTAAGAGTAACTCTCCATCACTGTAACATGATACTTTATACAGTCAGAAAGTGCAATAACTAAGCACAAAACTGACAGAGTACTGAGACATTCGACATCCTGACACCTAGCTTCAACACATCACCGTAGCGCTAACCGACAGCCTTCCATTTTGGAAGGTTCAAGGTTATTTTGACTGTATTAAGTATCGTGTTACAGTGATGGAGAGTTACTCTGAACTCGTATCCATAATGTCTTTTTCCATTCTACATTTATTTATGGCTCAACATCCGAGTTTCTAAAAGCTAGGCATCTCCCCATTTTCGGGGGTGCCTAGCCACCCACGTGTTGTGAATTAATTAGGCTACAGGCTTCTCCACCATAAAATCCCAGCGATCTTCGATACAATTTGAGGGAATTCCATTGGGATGCCGTTGATGCCATTTGATGCCGTTTCGGAGAAAGAAGTTTCAACAAAGCTATGAATTTAACAAGTGATGCTGACATAATACCAACATGAACAAATGAAATAGGATATCATTCAAAGGAGAATTCATAAACGTTTTTTCCTCTAGTGATGAACTTTTCCAATTGTCCGCAAACTCCAACGCAGCCACTTACCCATTTAGGAAACTCCACTTCTCAACTCCAATTCCAAAACGGTATCTTCACTGCGATTTAAATTCAAACTGAGATTTCCATTACACCAAGTGTTCTTGCCTGACCCATCATCAGGGCATCATCAGGGCATCATCAGGGCATCATCAGAGCATCATCAGTACCCTGGTGATGGGCCAGGCTTGACAATTTGGTGTAATGTAAATCTTGATATTAGTTATATGAATCGCATTGAAGAGACCGTTTTTGGAGTTTGGAGTTGAGAAGTGAAGTTTAAAAATGGTGATTGGTTTTATTATTTCAGTTTGTCGCCTCACCAGGACCAAGTAAAAAGTAGCAAGAGGAACAAACGAAAAGGGAAAGGTAAAACAGAGCTGAAAGGAATTACTGTAAGGAAGAATAATGGAGAGGGAATTGGCCCACACGGATTCATGAACCATTACTAGGGCAAGACATGAACAGAAGGGGCATGTGCGGCGGTATTCAGGTTTCAAATTCTAATAATTCCATGTGTTCATCTGTGCTACAATGTCCTAATTGAACCTTACAGAAAATTACAATTTCAACACAGCTGCAAGGTTGTGAGAACAGTGTAAAAAAAGAGTAAGTGGAAAGTTGTTGTAATTTTCAATCAGGACATTCTAGCACAGTTGAACACATGATTATATTCATTTAATTATTCTCTCAATCACAATTCGATGCAAATTCACTGATCGCCATCGAGGAAAAACGTTTATGAATTCTTATTTTACACATTCTATTTCATTTGTTCATCATGGCATCCATCATGTTTATTAATCATAGCTTTGTTGTTTAGGATGATGATTATATGGGAGGCATAATATTGTTAGGTACCTCCGCCCGTACAGTATACCCTTTTCCCCTAGCTGGCCTGCATGCACCCGTACTACGTCATTCTCACCTTTCGTTCCGTTGGCCTGGATAGCTACTTTCGCACTCATGTTTGCCATAGCTACCCAGGCCCTTTATAATGCGTTGCCTCTCTCTCTGACTCTCTCTTCAAATAATCGCTCTCTTCAGTCGAGCTCTCTCTCATAATGTAGTTGTTGCATTGCATTGCGTCTACCATAATAAATGTTTCTCCCCACTCGTTCCCGTCGTCCGTTACGTTGCGTTTGGGAGGATTGAGGCTCCAGAATGTCAAACATTGGCGCCCGGCTTTTCGCTCGGACCCACGACCCTGCTCCAGAACTCGTCGTCAGTCTCGTCTCGTCTTCAACCTCATCTCGTTCATGTCAACCTCGTCTCTCCTACGCCAACCTTGTCTCGTCCCTGTCAACCTCGTCTCGCCTATGTCTACCTCGTCTCGTGCAAGACATGCAGGTCAGCTATTTCTCATTATTTCTCTCTCTCTCTCTCTCTCTCTCTCTCTTTTCTTTCGTGCGTCTTACTTCGTCAAATTTATTTTCGGTTTATTTATTTCGTGATTTTTTTGTAGTGTGTGTGCGCGCGTGTTTCCAGCCATCAATATTAGAGGTCTGATCATGGTGAGCCACGCTCTATTATTTAGGTTGCATTATTTTGCAAAAGTGTATAACTAAGCTGTTTAAGCCGTGCAAAGCAGAAGGTAATTGTGTTCCTCATCAAAGAAGGAACCTACAAACTGTAGTGCATGTAATATGTGGTATAGCACTTTTGTGAGATCCGTGCGTTGTGTGTGTGTGTGTTTTTTTCTCTACTTCCTCAGTCATTTTTTCTCTATTTTTCTCATCGTCTTGATATTTCCCGCGAGGCCGCGGTTCTTTTTTTACGCAGGGAAGGTATGTTAGGTACCACCGCCCGTACAGTATACCATTTCCCCTTGCTGGCCTGCATGCACCCGTACTACGTCATTCTCACCTTTCATTCCGTTGGCCTGGGTAGCTACTTGCGCACCCATGTTTGACATAGCTACCCAGGCCCTTTATATTGCGTTGCCTCTCTCTCTGACTCTCTCTTCAAATAATCGCTCTCCTCAGTTGAGCTCTCTCTCATAATGTAGTTGTTGCGTTGCGTTGCGTCTACCATAATATATGTTTCCTCCCACTCGTTCCCGTCGTCCATTGCGTTGCGTTTGGGAGGATTGAGGCTCCAGAATGTCCAACAATATAGCAACCGGTGTCGTTTCGTCTTTCTTCCTCAGTCAGTTTTTGGGTGTCACCAGTGTGCCTGCACCCCCCCCCCCCCCCACACACACACCCTTCATCTTGGTGGATCTTGGTGTTGCGTTTTCCAACTTTGCTATTATGTGCATTGCTATGCATCACAACTGGGATATTATGCCTCGCGTTTCCTATTGCTTTCAAGCACGAGTAAATTTTCTCGCTGAATCAGTCCAGGTCTAAAAATAATCTGACGGTCCCAAGTTCTTCACATCGAATATTTCGGGAATGCGCGTGCGTAACACTTTTCGTTTGAGAAATTACGTTCTCGATGTTTTTGTTTTTAGTTCTGACTTGCTATCTGGTTGACATCTGGCTTTGGCCAACTAACCCTACAGTTGTGTGTTTGAATTATTTATTCTCTGTGTTGTTGCCCTTGTTGTCTAGGTAACCTTGTGTACCTAGTTTAGGCAAAGCTAGAATGTACAGATGCGAAGTATAATAATTATACTTGGTGTTGCTCAATCTGCGGACAGCATGCTGTTTCGTTCTTCGTGAACTCCTCAGCGCAGCACAGAGAAAATGAGGCCGAACCTGATAGCAATGAAAATAAATTTTCCAAAGCCAGATTTAAACCAGGCCCGAACATACCTTGCCAGAGTGCTCAAACTGAAAAGTCAGTAATTGGTGTTGCCAAACCTTATGTGGCCCTACAAGTAAACGCCCAAATACCTGGCTTTAAAACACTCCCACCATCCACGAACAGATTTCCAGAACTTTGAAGGGCTAAAAAAGATACATCATGCTCATTTTGACCAAATATCTACCGTATTATCTCTAATTTAAGCACGGTCCTTTATTTTTTCAATGTACCTCCGCCCCGTGCTATTAATGGAGACATTCCTTTATTGGAGACTGTTCCATTATTTCAACCTCATTTCAGAGGCATGTTGCCATGCCAAATTCATGTCAGACACACACATCTCAGGGTTTTTTTCGCCGGTACAGATAATGAATTTACACAGTGTGCTTATATTGGAGACTGAGCACTTTATTTTTTTGAATGCCGCCCCAAGGTGTTCTATTATTGGAGACGTGCTATTATTGGAGACTGTGCTTATATTAGAGATAATAGGGTAGGTCAGATGGATACACTTGAAACTAAATCTACCTACAATGTGATACGGGTCCTCCCTCGTTAGTAGATAATATCTGGGCCATGAAAAACGAGACTTGTAACAGAACTTGCAGCTAAAGGTGAAATAGGCACTAATTTGTGCTTACCTGGGCTACCCTCGACATAACATAAATTTTCGACGCTTCAACTCGTTATAAGATATTCGAAAATTTCCAACGTAACTCTTCATTGGATGCAAAAGATCGTCCATATCTACGAATACGTAGAGATGATACGTTGTGTCTTCCTGTGTTATCCTACGTGTTTTGGCCGTGGACCTGCATGGTCAATATTATCTTATACTGAGGGTTTGGCACTCCGGGGACCTGAGCAAAGGGTCGTTATAACGGATTTATGTAGTAACGGATTATGTTGTAACCGGATCTGTAAACCGCTGTATAGACCATGTTTCACCAGGGGATTTCAGATTTTTATTTACTAACGGGGTTTATGTACTAACCAGACTCGTTATAACGAGGGAGGACCTGTAGTAGTATTGGCAAACGAGAGAGCTTGGAAGCTCAGGGCCCTACGCTATGCTTTTATGCTTTTTTGCCTAGCTCATCGTACATGTAATAAGAACTGAGGCAAAAGTATTTGCAGAATTTATTGCGGATTGTTATTTCTCTAATAATCATCTTCTTTTGGTTTGCTCCTTCTTTTCTTTTTATCTCCTTATACTGTAAATCAACAAATTTTGGCTGATGAGAAATAGAAACCTCTCTATTAGAGAGGTTAAGATGCACGTTATTTCCAACGTGACGCGCAATTTCACGTCAAATTTGAAATCGATCGGTATTTTTGCTCTCACATGCATCCATTGCTCAATAATGCATCAATTTCCTATATGACAAACTTTGGCCTGTGATTTACTTTGGCCGGTTGGTACCAAGCGGCGAAATCAGCGAAATTAAATCGCCAGCGAAAATTAGTTGATTTTAATCCAGTAATCGGATTTTCTGGCCTTTTTGTAGTAATACATGTACATTGACCTGTTGAGCCAATGACGACGCCGAATGCATGGTTGCCTGTGGAGCACATTACATAACTTAGCAGTCTCCTAAAATACGTATCCTGTCCGACGGCAAAAGAGTCTGCAGATTTAGTTTTTCTTCGCGTCGACGGGATGTCTGCGACGCGAAAGTTCAGCTCGCGTTATTTGGCTCGCAATTCGAAAAATCAACGCGAGTGACCTGCTGCTCACGTGGAAATTTGGACATTACATAACTTTACAGTCTCCTATAATACGTATCCTGTCCGACGGCAAAAGAGGCTGCAGATTTAGTTTTTCTGCGCGTCGACGGGATGTCTGTCCTGACGTTCACTGGGACCGGCGCTGACTCTGCCGATCACGGGCGTTCTGGACTCCACAGGATGTCTGTCCTGACGTTTCCTGGGACCGGCTTAGACTCTGCCGATCACGAGCGTTCTGGACTCAACGGGATGTCTGTCCTGACGTTGCCTGGGACCGGCGGACTCTGCCGATCACGGGCGTTCTGGAGTCGACGGGATCTCTCTTCCGACGTTTCCTGTGACCGGCGCTGAATCGCTCGTTCACGCTTATTTTGGAGACGACGCGATCTCTCTTCCAAAGTACATGTATGTTTATGCTGACGCTGTTTATGCTGACGCATCCTATCACCTATTCGGCGTCTATTCTAATTTAATTTCCTCCTCGTCTCCCTATTTCTTTCCAAATCTCCCTCTACATCAGGGAGTCGTATACATAATACGACGAATATTGGTACGGTACGGGACAGATACAGGAGCTGCCAAATATTGTGGACAGCTGTTATGTACAATCCTGTAGAGCCTTTGTAGTCACAGATACGGGACAGATACGGGACAGATACGGGATAGCGCCAGGCGTGACACAAACAAACAAACAAACACACAAACAAACAAATACCAAATTAAAGCTGTGTGGACCCTGGCTAGCGCCAGACGTTACTGAAGTAACGTCTTCTGCATAGCTACGGGAATTAAACTAATACTTACCTCAGGAATGTCATATGTCAGATGGTCATGATACTGGAGAAAGAAGATAGAGAATTCCAACAGAAGAATGCAATAGCTGAAAATCAGGGCAAACACTTGGGTTATTTCTTAGCATTGTGTAATTTTTAAAAGATTTTGTGGGTCTTTTACCTCTACTCTTGGTTGTTGCTGCCTCTAACAACCGCTTGACCAGCAAGTAAATTGGCTCTAAAGACACCAACGTCCTTCAAAGTAGGAAGTGCTATTACATAGGCGAAACATTGAAGTACATGTGCATAGCTTGGTGACTCCTGGCAACAGATGTTGTCCGTGTCACACTCATGGACTGCATCAATAACAAGGCCATCAGAGCCGGCGCGGCTGGGGCGGCTGAGACCGCCCCACTTTTGCGGCCATTTCTTGCTTTGTTTTTGTTTTGAGCACACTGCAACAAATGTAAAATGTGAACATTGCCAGCCGCGATGGTTTACAGTTTGCTGTTGCGTGTTGTCTACGGGTGCACATTATTGCACTGGGCAATGAATGGAAAATTGAGAAATAATAGCGAGCACTCCCAGGTTGCCTAGAGGGCTCAACAACACCACAATTATGGATCAATACCACAACCGCAGAAGAGAACTGATGATTCCTTTAGCCTTGCTATGTGTATGAAGACCAGCGTTAGAGCAATAATCTAGCTGGTTTTCTATCTTCTATGTTGTTAACACCAGTTTGGACCTGCTTCAATACTTGTGGCGGGTGGCAGAAGCTGACATCAACATAATATACTGGAGTGCTATTTGGTTTTCTGTACGGTTGAAAGGTACCGGTGTTGAGGTCCATTGATATGTCGAGGTAATCGACGACTTTTCTGTTAGCGTGTATCGTAATCTTCAGGCCGTGTGTTTGGAACACCTGGATTATCTCCTTACGCAAGCGGTCAGCTCCATGGCCGGTGGCATCCTTCACTATGGCCAGCTCCTTATCTATGAAGGGTAACTAATGCCTAAGGTGGCAGGAATGTTGCTTCCACTTTAACCAATTGAACGCTTTCACACCAAGGTTCAACTCCAAGGCTCAAAGGTTCAACTAAAGTGACAGGAACGCCTTAAAAGTTATAGCCTGCAGGCACGGTGACCAGGTGTCTAGTGTACGCATGAGCACGTTACCTCTTACCCACCCGTGTTCGATTAGGAATACGGGTAGAACGCTGCTCCGCAGCCTTTTCAAACCAAAACCAGTCGACTCAGCGTCCAGAAGACTACAACTCGGACCACGACCATTCGACTCAGCACCGCGAAGACTACAACTGGTGAAAATGTGATTTTATGGTATTCTTCCTCTTTAACGCGTGTCCATATGTCCCTTTCCATTCTGGCATGCTATGTGGCTCTTGTTTCTCCCTTCCTTCGGTATCCGTTCCAGGACGGGTGTTCTGATTCTGAAGGGAGACAGCTAGCCCAGGACCATTCGTTACTCTTGTTAATTGGAGCTAGATGGATTAATACTGTCTTGGTAAGATGCAACGTTTCCCAGCTTAGAAAAAAAAATGCATGGTCACATCACTGAACCGTTGCCCAGAGTGTAGCCCCGTAGCATCCAACGGATCAGGTAGTAACGAATCAAGCTTCCTTACGAGGTGAGCTCAAAAGTTTTGCCCAGTATGGGAAAACCAGTACTGACTGGATTAGAAGACCCTGTCGAATAACATCCTTCTTGCATACTAGCCCCTGCATCAGTCATTTCAAAAATACAAGTCCCTCTCGAACAGAAGCCCACACTACTCTTCGCGAAGCATGGGGTGAACAGGTGATGCCATGTATGGTAAGGTAAAGGGCGTAGAAAACATTTCCTGCTTGTACATTCATGCACATATCAGTACATGTCCAGGTCGACGTAGTGCGTGCAAACTAAATAGGGGCTGAGTTGTTTTGAATAGGAAAGTTTCAGGGATTCAATTGTCATACTGGCATTGATTGAAATAATAAAAAGCCTTTCTTGAATAGAAGCCCCTCTTGAATAGTGGCCACTTCAAAATTGGCACTGAAAATATAGAACCCCAGCTTCTAATCCAGTGCATGAGTACGGCAGGTCTCGATAGTCAGGCATGCAAGCGCTTAGTGTACGAGAGTACATAGGGATAAACAAAGGTTTGTGTAACTTTTGTGGTGCCACAGTTTGCTGACGAAACATTACGGAATGTTTGTTCGGAACAACCTCTCTTATTATTCCCCATTGTTCCCATGCCAGTGGTGCTGAATAATCACTAACTGGTTCGAATATGGTAGGTTTTAAGGTTTGCTATGTGCGTGAACAGCGCTTTTCTATTTTTGATAGGATGGCAAGGGGAAGGGAGCCGTTAGGGAGTAGTTGAACGCCGAACTCCTGACACTTTCTCAATCTATAGGAAAAAAGGTATCAGAGCAGACCCGCTCTCTACCAATTCACTCTGCAAACTCGAACCTGGTTTCTCAATCAATTATTACAACGTTGCGGCAAAATTGCCCTCATCGGGGTCTGCTCTGAAACCTTTTTTCCTATGAATGAAGCTGCAGGAAGCCTCACCACTGCTACTTTCTTAATCTATTATTGAAATGTGGGCATGACATATAGAGCTTGACTGTAACATACCCTTCCGTGATCAAGAAAGTACGGGTGTTCAGCAGCCTGTAGCAAAGCAAATCCACACGAAATAAAGCAGAACAGTACATTACGCACAAATGATAAGTTTTTTTCTCATAAAGCCTCATCCGCAGATAAACAAGATATCATTGCAGTGCCTGTTAGCGCCACACAAGCAAATGCTAGCTAGCAGCTTGACTATACCTATAAACCACACAGATTCACTGAGCTAATGGACGCAGTTCCAAAATCACATCAAGAGTTGCAACTCACATCCCGCGTTTTTTTAGGGGTGAAACGAGTATATCGAATTCGAGCTCTCGCTCGAAAATTTGAAAGGAACGAGTACTCATTTCGCAAAATACTCGAAGTATCCTATGTACAGTGTATTGTATGCATGTACATCAAGCATTTCTGCTACTCTGACTGGGACTGATAGTCCATGCAAGCGCGAAATTATTGCTTGTCCCTTACCAGCAAAAGAGAGTAGTTCAGTCTATTTCCTGCACTAGGCTGCATGCAAGACTACATGTGTATCGGGTGTACTACGTTCGGTGGTGCGAGAGCGTGTGCAGTGCATTGTATTATTTTGTCAGTAACATACTCGTACTCGCTCGAATACTCGCTCGTTTTTTCAAAGAGTACTCGAGTCCCCAATTTTGGCACTCGTTTCACACCTAGTTTTTTTGCTCCCAAAATGTTTCTCGCATTTGTCGTGCTTTGAGTGTTGCCTTAGTGAAAGTAGAGTTCCTGGCTTTCACAGTTTTACTCCCAGGTCATTTCTACCCCACCAATACCCACCTTATAACTGTTGCTCTATTTTAAGTTATTTTTAAATTCTGCTTGCTATATTCTCTGCAGCCTATGTGATCGGCATTTTTATCCCTTGAAATTTGTCATAATCAATTTTCTCCAGAAAGGTACATTCAAGTAAAATACACATTTGAAAGAAGGAATGAAAAGCGTCTCTGCCGTAACTCTGAGTTTCCCATAGCATCCAACGGACCAGGTAGTAATGAATCGAGCTTAATTGGAGCTAGATGGATTAATACTGTCTTGGTAAGATGCAACGTTTCCCAGCTTAGAAAAACATGTTTGGTCACATCACTGAGCCGTTGCCCAGAGTGTAGCCCCATAGCATCCGACGGATCAGGTCGTAACGAATCCAGCTTCCTTAAAGGTGACCTCGTCCACTTTGCCCAATATGGGAAATCCGTAGTCACTGGATTCGACTGAGAGAGCCCCTGTCGAATAACACCGCTGCAGGCTACAGCTAGCTTGGCTCATGGCTCGAGTGAGTGATATGGGCGAATAGTGGGATATGTGCATGATTGTGTGAGTTGGATGGTGTGATGCAAATATAGGCGCAAACAGAACACACTTTAAAGAACTCAGATGGTGAGCCAAGGAAAAATTGGAACATGGGAAATTGTGGGCACCATTATGCGATCGAGTCCAACAACTAAAACAGATTTTGCACAGTCAGACGTGTACAATCTAGCACAAAACTGACAGGGAGTGCTGAGACATTACACGGCATGAAAATCGGCTTCAGAACTGCTCGATAGCGCTAACCAAGTACTCCCTGTCAGTTTTGTGTTAGATTGTGCACATCTGAATGTTCAAAATCTGGTTTAGTTGGTGGACTCGATCGCATAACTTGTGCCCACAAATTGCTTGAAAACGAAATTTCAAGACCTGAATTTGAACGCTTGTCTTGTTCAGCGTCTTGTTGAGTGCTGAAGGGTCTGCCTCAAACTCTGATCAAGACGTCGACCTTAGCTGCCAGTGTAGCGAAGCGAGTGGCCGCAAACCAAAGCTTGGTCTGTCAACAATGCTCTCCCTCAGTTTCTAGCTGATTGCTTTGCCCTTGGAGTGGACAAAATAAAATTTATAAATTCCGCTCTGGGAAGTGACTTAGGCTCATGCAACCACCACATGGTCATTCCAGGGAGGCCAGGGCCGTCGGAAGTAATCTAGGGTAGTACGGTCAGCCATCTAAGGTACAGTATACTGGTGTTGGGAGTGGTGGCTGCGCAGAACCTTTTTCTAAATTTAGAGTCCAAATCAGTGCTTTGGACTGATTTGAGGGGTACCGGTATACCTGGGGACAAACTGTGGTACGGTCGATACCGTAGTGACCGTAGCATGTGCGACGCCCCTGAAGGCAATGAGAAAAGTGGCGGGATGATTATGAGCACCACGTCTGTTGATAACCATTGCCAATCACTCCATGAGTGCCCTATCTGATATTGACCTGCTAAAACTGGTAAAATCTCTGCTAACACAGTTGAAAACACCTGTCACTCTACTTCACGTTCCCTAGACTGCTACAAAATGTGCACAGCCATCAAAGGCTGTCAATATATATGCATATCTTTTCATGAAATGCTTCCACTGCATGGGCCTCAACCAGCAAAAACAGGCCTTAGGGTCAAAATTTTCAGTATGCCTTTTGTTGGAAATTTGTTGAAAACACATCTAGAGAAGGACCTCAGCCAAGAAAAAGTCCAACATTCCGATTTAAACCGGGTCTTTACACCAATACACAAGATGCACTCTAAATTGGTGCAATGTATGTAAATAGTACGAACTTAGAAGTTGCGTCTTCGGCGGTAATAGTCATGAAGGTGATTGTTCCAACTACTTCAAGTAGGAACACATGCTTCTTCTGGAGAGCAGTATATAAGTGGTGCTTTTCAGGCACAATCTTCCTCAGCCTACTCAAGCTCAACTGATGAGGGGTGAATTCCCCGAAACACGGTGTATTGAGCAGGGAGTGGTGCTTTCTTGCAGGTTTGCCGAGTGGAAGGTGCTACATGCTCCTCGTGTGCTCCGGATGGCATTCATGAGTCAGTCAAGTGTCAAGTTCGGCAAGAAGCGTGTGTTCCTAGTTGGAACAATCAACTCCATGTATGTAAATAGTGTTCATAGTTTTACAGCAGCATGAAACAAGGTGGAGGACACCGTCTTCGGAAACAGTGACCTTTCTGCAACCATCCACACGGTTGGTAGAGCCTCAGTCTGTTGAGTCGCAAGGTCGCTGTTTCCGAACACGGTGTCCTCTGCCTCGTTTCATGCTGTCAAACTATGAACACTACATAAACCAAAACAAGGTTTATCTACTAGGGATGAAACGATTACACCGATTACTCGAAACTTACTCGTTATCTCTGTGATCGCTACTCATTATGCTGCTATCGAGTGTGCACTACTTGTACATGTGCATAGTACTAGCTAAGTCGCTCTGTTTGCAAAGTCAACTCCAGCACGTGTCATCCAAGGTGACAAAATGCACACCTTTTTCTTGTCACCTTCGCACTTTTGGGATATGGTGTGTACCCCCCCCCCCCCCCCCCCCCCCCCTGTTAAAACAAACTGGCTGTGCAGGATTTGATTGTGACTGGGAGTCTAGAACTGTGTCACAGTACTTCTAGTTGTAGACGAGATGTCACAGTACTTCCGAGATGTGTTATTCCACAGCATTTGTGACATAGATGCACATGTACGAGCGTATACTGTATTTTACTGCATACACAAGTCATTCATGCACAATTTTCATGTTCCGGAGACCAGTGCAGTATCATTTTGATACGTCCTACATATCCAGCATACTCGTGTTATGATAACTCGATCGTTTATAATAAACGGTACTCGATAAGAAGAAATGGGTGATTGTTCATCCCTATAATATCTACCCATCTACACTATGTGTGCATGTATACGATGTATGTGTGCAATGAATATTTAGCATTCTAAAAGTGAGTGGGCAGCTTGAATACCTTTGAAATATTGCAGTAAGCAGCTAGAATAACAAAGAATGGCTGAAGATTACGGAGGGAATGATCGACACATTCGCAGCTGCATCCAGTGTGGAGTCGTTCCGCAATCCATTGTTCAAGATTTACATATTACTTCTGCATATGCATTGCATACTATGATCGTGCTGGCCCCATCCCTTATCTCCTAAGCTACCACCACCCCCCCCCCCCCCTCCTTCCCGGTACGACCCACGGTCAGACGAGCTGCTCAGGCCTCACCACCACTGCCGGCGTCGAACGAAAGAGAGTGTCAGTGTATCTGACTCGTCAGATTGGAACTGTGCTGAACTTTTCTCGTTCTCTGCTTTCTGCTTTCATCCCGCGCACTGATGAAACCGTTCAAATGTCCTACTGTCAGCAACTGCACAGCAGAACTGGCAGCCATGGCCAGTCAAACAGAGGATCCTTGTGGCGTCGAACGAAAGAGAGTGTCAGAGTACCTGACTCATCAGATTCTAACTGTGCTGAATTTTCTCGTTCTCCAATTTCTGCTTTCATCCCGCGCACTGATGAAACGTCTTCAGAGAACCACAAGACACTTTCCAGATTTGATTTTGAACGTCTCCTTTTCCTCCTTGGTTACCTCGAGACATATTACTGTCAGCAACTGCACAGCAGAACTGGCAACCATGGCTGCAGTGAAGAAAGGAATGCCCTGCCACGAGGCAAGCAAAACAGTAACTGAAAAGGTGTTTTTTTACTACACACAGGACGGTGTGACTGGATAAACTGGACTCCTGGACCGTGAATAGGGGACTTGTAGAAAAGTGTACTCGTTATAGGGGATTGCGCGGCTGGATTGAGCTGATCAAAATTGAGTGGACTCCTGGACGCTGCTTAGTGGATCTTGGACCAATGGACTCTATATAGGGCGCTGGACATCATATAGTTCATGGACTTTATACTGAGTCCAACATATAGCTCTGATTATAAATTATTTCTTTAAGCTCATATCCCTGCTGGATATTGTGACCAGGCTACCGATTCTGGCAACTTGGCTAAAATGTCTACCTGAATACTAAGGTAGTACTTACTGGCTTCCGGAATTTCTGCACACACACACAGAGAAACAAAAGAAATTCTAAGTTAAAAACACAGAAAAGTAAAGCATGACTACGATGTAACTTAGAAGTTCTAGGGAATTGCGGGGAATAGCGGGGAATAGCGGGGAATAGCGGGGAATAGCGGGTGCGTTGCAAAGACCAGCTATCCCTTTTGCAAAGTCTTTTCCAATACTGAGAAATCGTAAAATTACAGTGCAGGTTATATTTTCGGTAACTGCGGTACAATTGATCCTTGGCTCTCCACCCCAGTCTACCTTCGGTGCAGGTATTTTATAGTATTTTTACTGTTCGGAAGGACATGTTGGATTGCTTGATATTTTCGTATTTGGTGCACTATTGCTATGCATTTCACGAGTGTGATATTTATTTGTTATGTCTGTTAGAATTCGTTGGCGTTTTAGATAGTACCACGACATGTTCACCAGCAGAACGTCTTGTGGATTATGCTTTATACAAGTAGAATTGTTGACACGCCAATCAGTTGCAATGCACATACTTGGTTTGTTGTATTAGCGCTATCCGCAGCGAGTCCGCTGCGATCTATTCTATCATCTAAAACTTTCTCTGGGTGGCAGGGTGTGCTGTCACCCTGTGGTTGGCTGCGAGCACCCCCTGACCGACAACGTTTCACCTCCGTAATCTATTATTCTTCATCCTTTCACTTCAGCAGATTATGTGAGTTTCTGTTTGTTCTGCATTCAAATATTCTGGCTTTTTTCCGTTGGACCTGCTGCACACGTACTCTGGCAATCGTCATATTTAGGCTGTGTTTACATGAGAGTTTTCGACCCGGGTTGAGTTCGACCCGGGTCAGGTTTCAACCCGCCATGTACACAAAATGAATGGCGCGTTTACATGACGCATTGCGCTTGACCCGGGTTGAAATTTCGCCTCGGGTTGAAATTAACCCAGGCGAGAAATCGTACTAACATACTTCGGGGCGTACCGTATTTTACCGGTTGTAAGTCGACCCCGGTTATAAGTCGACCCCCCCTATCTGGAGGTCTCAATTCTGTGTTTTAAAGTTTTCACCCAAAGAAGCACTACTAACCACCTCCTGGTACTAACACATCTACAAATCATGTCAGCATTCCTTATTGGAGGATATAACGTCCCAATCCTTGAAAAAGGCCAATAAACTGGCAAAAATGTGTAAACATGGTGCATCCGTTAATGCAGTGCAGGTCATTTTTTGTAAGATACTGATAGTTCCCGGTTATAAGTCGAATCCCGGTTGTAAGTCGACCCCCACCCTTTCTGCTTCTATTTTAAGTCGTAAAAGGTCGACTTACAACCGGAAAAATACGGTATCTCGGCCAGGTTTGAAAAGCACTGGATATGCACATTTCGCGCGAAAAAATTCTCGTGACCATACAGGACTCTAGAAGTGGAATTTTTGCCGGCATATCAGTATTTGACCCGGGTCAACTGTGTTCATGTAAACACTGACCTCTTTTGTCTATAGCACAAACTTACAACCCGGGTTGAACTCGACCCGGGTTGAAATTTCTCATGTAAACGCAGCCTTAGTATCTCTATGGCTACGATGATTCATGCATTTTCTGTACGCTGCATTCTCTCTCAATGCCACGTACGTTGTGTGCATGCATGCGGCGCAAGCCAAATGAACGCACCCGTGCACGTTTTCCCCAGGAGAGCGATTTGATGATCGTCGTTCCGTGTGCTTTACTATGCACTGTACATAGCGCATGCACTCTTGACCTAACCGATCCGGGCTTGCATAGAAGCCAGGCTTCTACGCGCGACAGGCTTATATGCATTTGACCCGTTTGATTTTCAGGCTTCTATCCGCGATGTGCTTGTATGCAAACCCGGCTTTTATCGGCGACTTTACGGTAATTGTCACTCTAACTGTAAAAAAGTCCCGAAACATTTAAAAAGGCTTTATATTGATTGTTTTGGTTGTTCCTAAATTAGTGACGACTCTCCACTGATGAGTGTCACGCAAAAACATTTTGGAAATTGGTATATCTATATTTTACATTGTTATGACTGCGCTAATTTGTTTTATTCATTTCCATTTTACTGACTATTATCCCCCTCTCTCTCTCTCTCTCTCTCTCTCTTTCTTTCTTTCTTTCTTTCTTTCTCTCTCTCTCTCTCCCTCTCTCCCTCTCTCCCTCTCTCCCTCTCTCCCTCTCTCCCTCTCCCCCCCCTCTCCCTCCCTCTCCCCCTCTCCCTCCCTCTCTCCCTCTCTCCCTCTCTCCCTCTCTCCCTCTCTCCCTCTCACTCTCCCTCCCTCTCTCCCTCTCTCCCTCTCTCCCTCTCTCCCTCTCTCCCTGCCTCCCTCCCTCCCTCCCCCCCTCTCTCTCTCCCTGTCTCTCTCTGTTGCCTGTTCAAATATTCCTACTTTCATCTATCTTATTTAAAAAATGAAATATCACTCACATCGCCGTCTTGTCCATAATAGAGATCATCGACTGTACCTTTTACTGGAACTGTAATACACTGCGTACATAAAGAGAAGGGAAAAGACAGACAATATGATGGGTAAATATTGCATAGTAACAACATACCGTGCTTCATAATGTTCAAACTCAACTTTGCTGTAATACCATCACACAACGAAACAGTGAACAGGTAGACGAAGGACGACATTTATCGGGGTGGATGAGAGACGGAACAACAAAGACTTAATGGTGACGACAAGAGAGAGAGAGAGAGAGAGAGAGAGAGAGAGAGAGAGAGAGAGAGAGAGAGAGAGAGAGAGAGAGAGGGAGAGAGAGAGAGCTAAGGAGAGAGAAATATGATCAAATATCGCTAGATAAAGGGCCTGGATAGCTATGGCAATTATGGGCGCCCAAGTAGCTACACAGGCCAACAGAACAAATATGTGAGTATGGGGCGCATGCAGGCCAGCAGGAAAAGAAGTGTCTCTGGACCAGGAAGCCACACGTGGTTGTGAGTGCATAGTAGCAGGTCTAGGTGTCGTTGCTGTGTCTCTGGACCAGGAAGCGACACCTGGTTGCCAGGGGCACAGGATGGTCATTAGAACTGGAGCGTGCATGCTGTTGTGATGAGGAAGTGTGCTGTGATGAGGAAGTGTGCTGTGATGAGGAAGTGTGCTGTGATGAGGAAGTGTGCTGTGATGAGGAAGTGTGCTGTGATGAGGAAGTGTGCTGTGATGAGGAAGTATGCCGTGTTTGCAATGCAGTTGTGATAGATGTGTCAGTTGCATGCAGGGAGGGCTCTGCGGTGACTTCGTTAGTGCTTGCGTGATGGTTGTGGGATGCACTGGCAGTTTGTTCTCAGCTCTAGTATATCAGATCTTAAGCTGAAACCCTGATCAAGAAGAGAAGAAACATGTAGGCTTTGCCCAGCAAAGCCTAGTTGGCCAATGCACACGCATGCTGGTGGTGGAGTGCTGCGAGTGCGTGTCACGTGACCACCTTGTGAATAAGCCGCATGCGCAGCGTGTGGCCTGGCGAAATTTTATGGACTATCGTGGATGCGGCGTCTAATTATTTGGAGACGTGTTTTGCTGAGCTGTCTTTGTGCAAAGGAGCGTTCTTTGCCGTTGCAGTTTCTGTGTCAAGTCAACGTTTTTCTTCCTTCCAAGGTTTTCCCTTTTCTCCGTTAGTTGCTGAGATGAGCACCCGACGTGTCGCGACCAGCAGCATGGCTGCTCGAGCTCATCCTGCTGCTGCATCACCCCCTACTCCCCGACCCGCAGCATGGCTGCTCGAGCTCCTCCTGCTGCTGCAGCACCCCCTGCTCCCCCGGCAACGCCGGCTCAGGCGCCCGGGTTTTCTCCTGGCCAAATGGCAATTCTCCAGGCCTTGATCGCCACATCGGTCCAGGCGGCTGTTAGAGCCGTCGCCCCTGCAGCCTCGGGTCAGGCGGAGTCGACACGCCGTCCATCCCGCCCGGCTGCCCCTGCCAACACTGCTGATCCTCCGGTGCAGGTGGAGGAGTCACTTCCCACAGGTACGGGTGTGTGTAGTAGTGTAGCGTTGGCACGCTGGTGACTTCAAAGCATATAGCGTTTAGTGTTTAGAGTATAGCATATCCCCGTACTGTATCCCCATACGTTAGCGTATCCCCGTACATTAGCGTACGGAGTCTGCCTTTGTATCAAAGCTGCTGCTCACGATTCTTTTATAGCCAGTTAGTTAATTTCATTGCCAGTTATAGTTGATTTCGTTGCCAGTACATTTCAATTGCCAGTTACAGTGTGTTCACTGAGACCCTTGTATTTTTGCCTCCGAGAGACTGCGGCCCGCTACAGTAGTAGTTCCACACGTGTGTCTACTAGTGCTAGCCCCCCTACCCCTGTGGCTGCGCCGACTCTCGTCGACGGGCTGCCTCCCCCTAGTGGTGTTACTGTCTATAGCTCTCGTGTGCCTGCTCCTAGTGTGAATATCTCTAGCAGTCTTGCATACAATGATTATGTGTGCAACCCTAGTGCTGTCAATGCCGGGTCTCGTAATGGAGTGACTGACCACGTGCCCCACGGTACGTACGACAAGGTGCTGCGCGGGAACATGTGGAGCTTGCGTTGTTCCTCACCCCTCGCGGACGAGCCAGCCGCGAAGGAAGTCCGGCTGTCAGAGGACAGTGGCCAGCTAGTGCTCTCCCCGTCCCTGCCATCCCGCCACAAGCTGGAAAGCCTGCCCGTTTGCCTGGAGGCGTGGTCAGTGTATTGCGCACTGATCTGGGACACCCAACCCGCAAGGGCGTTGTCGCTGATCACCCATCAGCTGCGTATCATCCAAGCGGCGAAACGATATAGGTGGTTATCGGTGTGCCAATACGACGAGGAGTTCCATCGGAAACTCGCCCACAGCCCTGGCATGCAGTGGGATGTGGTTGACCAGGACCTTTACACCCGCTGCTTCCCAGGCCGGGCGCTCTGCCCGCTCTGCAAACGTCTCAGCCACACCGCTAACACTTGCACCTCCCGGGATCAGCTCAAGCCCGGCACAACCCAGCCAGCGTGCGAGCTGCACAACAAGGGACGGTGTAATTTTCGGAACTGTAGATATCGCCACGTTTGCAGCTCCTGCGGAGCTCCCGACCAAGTCGCTACCCGGCGCGGGGCACGCGCGCCGGCCAGTGAGGCCTCGGCTAGTATTTATCTTGCCTTGTCCACGCACACACCTCACACTCCTGTTGATTTTTAATGCATCCGTGTCTGATTGGCACGCACATACACACCCTGCCTTACCCACGCACACCCTCACACTCCAATTGTTCTGCAGGCATTAGAAATTGAATTGCTCGCACACCCTGTTCCTGCATTTGTTGCCCATTTGTTAGATGGTTTACGCTATGGTATAAGAGTTGGTTCTGACGGTCCCCGTCATTCTTTCATTTGTGAAAATCTTGCTTCGGCATTTGTTTCCCCTGAGATTGTTTCAGCTTACCTCGCTAAAGAGGTTCAGCTTGGTCATACGGCCGGTCCGTTTCGGCAGCCCCCGTTTGCCAACTTCCGTTCGGCTGGCATCGGGGTCATTCTGAAGAAGTCTGGTGGCCACCGCCTGATAGTGCATTTGTCCGCGCCGGCCGGCGCTAGTATCACCGATGGCATTCCCGAAGACCTGTACAGCCTCGAGTACATTACTGTGGACGTCGTCGTGGGGCACGTGATCTGTCACGGCAAGGGCGCGCTAATGTACAAGGTGGATATCCGCCACGCGTTCCGCAACATCCCCGTCCACCCACACGATTGGCCCCTCCTAGGCATGGTTTGGGACGGGCAGTATTATTTCGACAAGGTCCTGCCATTCGGGCTGCGGTCTTCCCCAGCTCTCTTCAACCTGCTGGCAGATGCGCTATGTTGGATACTCCGGCACAACTATTCCCTGGCCGACCTCGAACACTATCTGGATGACTACATCGGCGTCGCCCCACCTAGCCCCTTCTCCACCGTCATCTACCGCAGCCATTCAACAGGCGACGCTGCTAACCCTGTTTGAGAACTTGGGCATTCCAGTGGCTACCGGCCAGGACAAGGTCGTCCCTCCGAAGACTGTGATGGCTGTGCTGGGGATCGAAGTTGACAGTGAGGAGCAGGTGACCCGGCTCCCCCAGGATACGTTGTCCGCCCTCCACACAGCGCTGGCAACTTGGCTCCAGCGCACCGACTGCTCCAAGCGTGAGCTCCTGTCCCTCATTGGCACGCTGTCCTTTGCCACCAAGCTGGTCCCCCCGGCCGCACGTTCATTCGGCGCCTCATTGACCTCAGCACAACGGCTTCGTCTATGTCTGCCCGGATCCCGATCGACGAGGAAGCGCGCCTCGACATCACCTGGTAGCATCGCTTTGCGGCCAACTGGAATGGAAAGTCCTTCTTCCACGACCAGGCCTGGTCCCGTTCTCCTGACCTCCAGTTATTCACAGATGCCTCCGGCGAAGGCTACGGGGGCTACTTCCAGGGCGACTGGTTTTTTGGGAAGTGGCCGGAGGAGTTTGAATCTCCTCCGCTAAGCGTTATTATGGGTAGGGAAATGGTTCCCATTGATCTAGCTTGCTGCATTTGGGGTCCGTGCTGGGCAGGGAAGAAGCTGTTGTTTCATTGCGATAACGAGGCGGTAGTTAGAGCTTGGAAGAATGGTTCATGTAGGAACAAGCAGGCCATGGCGTTGATCCGCTTTATGTTAGCTGTTCCTGCTAGGCACACATTTCATATTGTATATCCGCCATATTGCTGGCACTAATAACGGCATTACTCATGCTCTTTCTCGCTTGCAGCTGACCCGCTTCCGTCAACTGGTGCCAACGGCGGCTGCTTCGCCAGTGCCATGCCCCTGCCCGACCGTGCTGCTCCAGGCCTCAAGGCTGATGCCCTTGTAGCAGGTTCAGTGTCGGAATGCTCAGCGAGAACGTTCTCCACTGGCATTGATGCCTTCAATGATTATTGCGTTAAACATATTGTCAATCCCCTTGCACCCTCTAATAAAGATATCGTGTTATTTGCTATCGAGCTGTCCCGTACGAGGTGTGTGGCGACTGTGCGTGTGTATTTGTCAGCAGTACGGTATCATTGGCTTTGCAAGTGTGTTCCTGTGACTTGTATGCAGTCCGTCCGTCTTTCTGCAGTTTTAAACGACCTTTAGAGGAGGCAGGGTCCCGCAACCACGACGCGGAGAGGTCTCACTGGGCAATATCTGGCCGACTTACAGCATTTCCTACTCCGGTTCAACTACAGCGAGTTGGACCGCGCAATGATCTGGGCCAGTGTCTTGACAGCGTCCCACGGCCTCCTGCGGACGAGTGAGTTTTTGGCACCGCATGCAACAAGAGTCGATAGCATGCGCACGCTAACCTGGCAGCAGATCAGCGTCCAGGCATCATCGGCAGTCGTCCGCTTGCGGGTGATGGAGACAGCCCAGCTGGGTGACGGCGACCAAGTAGAGCTGCGCGAGACGCGCGACGACTTCTGCCCTGTGCGTGCCCTGACCGCCTATCTGGACCTTGCGGGTCAGAGAGAGGTGACGGAGCCAGTG